GTTCAATCCGCCTGAATCTAACTCCGCGATTCGGCTGCTGATGAATCAGCTGAATGTCTGAATTGCGCAAGCCCCATCCCCCGCCCACTCTCCCAGCCCTGTGCTGCCCCAGGTCCTGGCTCTTTGAAAAAAAAAGCCCCCACTCACTGGCTCCTGCTAGGCGGGGGGTGATCCCCGCTGCCCTCCACTGTCCTGGGCTGTGTGGAGGGCTGTGTCATGAGCCTCCAGAAGCCCTGAGGCTGCTGCAGCAGCAGGTGAGTGCAGGGTTTTTGGTTTTGTTTTTCAAAGGGCTGGGAGCTGGGGCAGGGAGAATGGCCATGGAGGTGGGCTGGGAGAGCGGGTGTGGGTTGGGGGGCTTGTGGCAGAGCCCCCCATGTGGCGTGGGGCAGTGGGGATCCCCCCCCTCACCTGGCAGCAGTCATTGAATTGGGGCTTTTTTTTAAACAACCAGGAGCTGGGGCTGGGCGGGGCAGCCATGGGAGGGGCTGGGAGAGTGGGTAGGGGTTGGCAGGTGCTCAGGAGGGTTGGGAGAGCAGGCAGGGGATGGGGCCTGGCAGGGGTCCCCCATGGGCCCCTCCTCCAGCCTCCCTCCCCCACCCCCTACTTATCAGCACAAAGTCCGGGTTCAGCTCCCTGCTGCAGCTAGAGGGACCTGGACAAATTGTCAGAGTTCTCTGAATCTTTTCTGAATTGGTTTGGAGAGCTTTGAATCGATTTGTACTTTTAATTGGTCCCCTGATTCATTTCAGATTTGGAGATTCGGCTCTGAATCGGGCTGAATCTCCTCCAAATCAAACCAGCATCCGAAGCTTCACACAGCCCTAATTGCTTTCGGTCTATCCCAGGTTGAGCGTAAGCATTTAAAGGCTGTTTTTCAGTGAGAGGTTTTTGAGATCTCTGTCTATTTTTTATAATGCACAAGTATTTGTATCACAATGACTAGTGAATTTATAGGCATTGTAAACAGAATTAATTGGGAATGAGACTGAGGTATTCATGTGATAGTAGTTAATTGAATTGTTGCTCTACCTGCCTGTGGATAGAAGTGATTTAATCCTTTGGCTTTGTGAGGTTTTACGGATATTAGCTGAACTTTCTGGGCCAAGTTCTGAGCCAGTAAAAACTGGGGTAGCTCCATGGATGTTTCATCAGCTGGGATTGTAGCCCAATATCTGTAAGTACTGCAACCTTAGTATACCTGCTGTCACTCTGGGAATTCTATTCAATTTAATTGGCATTAGTATGTGGCAAAAGATTTTTTACATTTTTGTGTTGTTCCTTCTGTGCCGTCCATGGTAAGATTTGCTGCAGGCTGTCATTTTTGTCTACCATCCAACGCATGTTGGCAAGAGTGTTGTGTACTAGACTTTGTGTCTGGTCACAGAAAAAAAATCATGCAGCTCAGCCAGACCATTCTGTTATTCCTGTAGAATTAAAAGCATATGAAACAGATGCAGCTTAATAAGTTTTTTTATAAATAACATCAACTTAAATAACTTAGAACAATAAAGTTCAAATACAACTTAAAATAAAGTTTAATGCTGTAACAACAGAAAAAGCATGTATAACGGTGGGAAAACAATATTTAAAAGCCATATGCCCTAACAGGAATTATACAAAGGATAGGATATGTTACATAAAAAACCTTAAGATGTCTGAATTTTTACTTCGTCGTTATATAAAATGTTATTTTGTGGAAAGTGAGATGAAGTACATTTATTTATTCCTACTCTTGTTATTTTACATACACTATTTTGAAACATCTTATAGAGCAGCTTTTCTTTTCATTAACAGATATGAGCATTTTGTAATGGAGCAACCCTCATTTTCCAAACTATCTTTTTATCGGAATGCAACAGTAACAAATTTACAAGATTATATTTTTTTTCTAATCAGTCACAAGATCATAATTTTTTTCTTATCATCATTAGTGTTTATATTATCAGTTTTTTGCAGGGGAAATTATTTAAAATACTGCTCAACCTCCACATTTAGCATTGACTTGATAATATGACGAATCATTCCAGCAGCCTTAAAGTCCGACATATTTTACATAACATTATCATCTGCTTTATTATTATTATAGCAGCCATGTTTAATAAGCAGATAGGTTTTTTTTAAATAAAATATCATCAGATGATCAAGTCATGACTTATTCTTAAGGGTAAATTAATTTAAGAAACTACTTAGTTACTGTACTAACATAATGATTGTACAACTCTTTACAATTTTTTACAACTTTTAGTTACTAAATCTGTTTTTTGTGTATATTTTCAAATCTTCTTTAATGCAGTCTCTCAAAAATAAACATAAATGCGCAAGTCCAGCTTGTTCAGTTTCTCAGTAGTTTTCCAGCCTTCCTTGATTACTTATCAGTCTCTTTAAAAATAATCTTCCTGCTGGAACTAGTTTTGAATAGATCATATACGATTAGGATATTGCCAAAGGAAGGAAGTGGGATGCTTTGTGTTCTTTCTTTGTTTTTTTACCTTTTATAGGGATACCTTTGTGGTTTAATGTAATAAACATCTCATTCCCTTTGTGTGTCCATTTTGCCGAAGCATAAGTATTGTAATGGTTTTCTTCAATCAGTTCTATGAAGTTGCAGTCTTCATTGCATACTTTCTGTTAAAAGTGAATGATACCATATAATAACATTAGCACTTTTGTTCTTTAAATACATAATGGGAGTGGGGAGGCTGGGGGAGGAACATATACCATGTAACTAATGCCATATGTTATTAAAATACTTTTTAATAAGAATAGGATTTTTCTAAAGCAAGATTAAAGCTCTCACCCTTACATTTTATAAACAAACATGAGTCCTGTATTGGGTAAAAATGCAATTCCTTTCTGTTTGTTAGCCATAATTGACATAAGCTACATATATGTCAAGTACAAATTAGCTAATAAGAAATATTTTTCAAGATTGAAATATTACTTTTGTATATTGAGTACAAATCTGTAACATTATTAGTACCTTTCCATAGAGTTTTCCAGATTTGTTCATTGCTAGAAAGTATTCACTTTCCACCCCTTTGATTGCCACTATTCCAACAGCCACTGTTCTTATTTCCAGAATACCTGCAAAGAAACAGAATGAGGTCTATGAACTCTTCATTTGTGTCTTAAGGATTGTACAGTACTTCTGTTTTTATTTAAAATCTGTTAAAATAGTGAGGATGGTTATTAAGAAATAGTTCATGGCATTACACGTATGGAGGACAGCTTAGCTCATAGTTCTTTGTTTACAGATGTGTGTGTGTATGTGTATGTGTATGTGCATGCAGATGCACACACAGAAACTACATGCTGGATCCTAGCGTTATAGTCCTAAATTTCCTTGTTAATCTAAGCTGTCTCTATAAGTGTTTTTCAAGAATAAAAATCTTTTTCTTGAATTTTCTTTAGCAGGGGCTTCCTTTTGAAAGAAACATACACATTTTAGGTAGGATTCACAGGAATTTTGTAAGCACTACACTTAAAAGATTTGTGAGAATTTTACCAGAGTCACCTCCTTGAAGAAGCATAAACCTTAGAACTTGCAAATGATGAAAAACAGACCCCAGTGTCTGAAAGAAGATAAAGCATCTGCTTGACCCTTTGAGGCTTTGAAAACTGATAGGAGCTGTAAAGTTATCTACATTAGAAGAGAAATAATAAAAAAGACGATCGAAACAACATTTTTATGCAAATATTGTAACATAGAAGTTTTGGAGTTGTCTTATATTGCAAGACATTGCTTTTTAGCTGGAAAACATATATATACTAAGAAGAAACATAGTTTCTACATAGTTACTACAGTGCTTTAAAATTACCTGTAACATAAAAATGTTCTTTTGTTGATTTAAAGATATTGGAATCAAATTGCACTGGGTAGTTTTCAAACTTAAGCATTTTAATAGTTTAAAGATTTTAGTACTTTTTGGCTGGGATGCGCTTTTTCAAACCATGAACCCACTCTCAAACCAGTAACTATTGAGCTTCCTCTTCTGACATACTAGGCTGGCTATCTTCAGCAAAGGAGCTTTTGGGAGAGAAAATTAAGGCCACATCGTGAATAGTGCGCACAGGCCAGGGCATGCATTTCTTGCGGAACAAGTAGTAGCAGCATATATTTGTGCCACTGATATTTGTCCCCAGGCGTACCCCTTTGTGCGCACTCTAGCACGCAGCAAAAAGACCCAGGTGGGATAGGGGCGGGTGGGCTAAACTTGGTCCAAGCTGTCTGCTCCAGCTGAGCAAGGAGGCATGCTCTAGAGCTGGCTTGTCCAACGTACGGCCCACGGGCCCCCATGTGGCCTGCCAAGCCATTTTCTGAGGCCCACGGTGTTGTGACGGGAAATGAAAGTAAACACTGTTTACTTTCGTTCCCACCCCTTGTCCCTCCTCCAGCCCCTGAGCAGCTTCCTAATGGCTGCTGAAGGGTTGGGGAAGGGACAAGGTACCCACACGCACCGCGTCAGCTTGACGTTGCCAATGCAGTGCGGCTCCTCCCTTCCCCTCCCCCCTCATTTCATGGTGTCCCTTCCTCGCCCCACCCCTCCTTTCCTCATTTGCATGCCAGCTCCTCCCCTCTCCCACCTTGTAGGGTTTCTGTTCCTAGCCCCGCCCCTCCCTTCCTCATTTACATGCCAGCCCCTCCCTGCGCCAGTCCCTGCTGGCCGCATGGGCTGGAGCAGGTCGCAGTGCAGCGGGCGCAGGGGGTGCAGATGCCGGCTTGGAGGGATGCTGCGGCCAGGCCTGCGGGAGGTACTGCTGGCGGC